TATTTCCCCCAAAAAAACAAAATGGTTTTGCAAATAGGTTTCCCAGTTCTGTACTCCTTTAGATGAGTAGATCATAAAATAGAGTTCACCTCATTCAAGGGTGGGAAATTTTTGGAGGAGCCATTCGGGCCATGGTTTTTGGGATTTTTGTTCTTAAATATTAATCATTTACCTCTTTTTTTCAATAAATATTTTGTTGCCAATTATTTTTTATATTTATCTCAAAATAGTTTTTCACATAATCTCTCTAAGTTTAAGAGGTCATTAAACACCCTTCATAAACCCCCAAATATCTTAAAATTAGATTTTTTTTAAATTATTCTTAACCTATATAGTGTTTTATTAACATTTTGTTTTGCCTATAATTTAGATTTGATTTTCAAGAAAAAATGATTAATGGTTTCAAGAAAAGAGTATGTGTCTACATATAATATGATAACATAATTAAAACAACTATATTGTAAGTTTAAATTTTTATACACTATTCTTATTTCATCATAAAGAATTATATAAAACAAACACATCTACTTGTATGTGTGTATTATTGTATGTAGTGAAAGAGACGTAACTTAGATGAATAGAGTATGAATAAGGCCATCCCTACTATCCCTAGCAAAACTGGAACAAATTAATCACATAAAACTGAAGAGTGGATTCTTTCTTTTTATTTACAATTATGGGTCGAATCTTCTGAATAATATTTGAATAAATAATTCTTAATGCATACAATCTAGGGCGAAGATATAAAAATTTGAGGTTGGAAGGGTTCAAAAAAACATGTTGAGATATAAAAATCATTTATATTTATATTATAGTTATCAAACTTATATAGCTGAGCAACTTAAAATTTAATTCAGGTCATGTTTTATATTAATTCAGTTTATTTATTAAAAATAATATTGTTTTGATATACTTTTTTAATAAAAACATAGAATAACATCATTTTAAATCATGTTTTAAAAAAAATTAAAAACCTAAGTCAAAGTCATTTCAAGTGTTAAAAAAAAAATTGAAGACCCAAGTGAATAATCCACAGCTCTAATCTTGAGTTAGGTTTTATAATAAAAATTATAAAATGGTTATTGATTTTGGGTTAAAATATAACTATTTTAAAGTTAAAATATGCCATTTTATAGAAGCAAAAAAAAAAAATAGTGAATCTTCTATAGAACAAGTATCAAAATTTATATGATGTAAGTTGGCACAAAAATACGTTATACCTTGGATTACCTGTCTCTTAAAACCGTCCCTCCCCGCTGACCTGCAACTTCTGCTAGAGCTGCCCTCCATTTATACCTGTAATTTATATCAAAATTTTTGGTTAGATACTTGGTTGATTGGCTTCTGCTTAGCTAACTCTTATCCGGCCCTCTTCCACTTGTCCTCCTCTAAGTCAGGGTTTGTTAGTTAAATGGGATACTGGTTAAAGGATTCTTGGTATTGGAATCTAAAATGGAGAAGGCCCCTCAAAGCTAATGAGACCCTGATGGTTCAAAGATTAATGTCTGATCTTAATCTTGCAGTTATTCATCGATTGAAAAAAGATAGGTTGATTTGGGAATAGGGGAAAGACGGAGACTATACTATAAACTCTTGTATGCTCGCCCTTGAAAGGATCAGGTATGCTGGTTCTATAACTTATGTCACAAATGTATGGAAATCCATTTGCCCTCTAAAAACAAAAAATGACTTTATGGCTGGCCTTAAATGAAGGCCTTTGCACAAGAGCTTTCCTGGTGAAGAGGCACGTCCTAAGTCCTCAAGAGGACAGGTGCCCTTTTTGTGAGCAGCATTCAGAAACTGTATCCCACATCCTCTTGCATTGTCCAGTGGTTTGGAAACTATGGAACAAAATTATAGCTTGGAGAGGTCTGAACTGGATAATGCCTTCAATGTCAATGGTTGGGTCTTTTGCAGGGTAACCACAGTAAGTTTGAAAAATCTGTTTGGGGGGGCTTTATATTTAGCATTATCTGGACTATATGGACTGCTAGGAACAACTTGATATTTGAGGAACAAAAGCCAATATGGGAAGATATACTATGGCATTTGTTTTACTTTGCTGCAGGATGGATCAGGAATCTCAACTCTTCCTTTTGGTATACCGGTGCTGATCTGTATAGGAATCATGAATGCATTTCGGCTTAGTCTGCTTAATTTCTAATTTAGTGATTTAGTGTGGGTTTGGTTTGCTCGCTTAATAGTAGAGCTCACACTGTTCATGTTTTCTCTTTTTATTATATATCTATTCTCGATTTCAAAAAAAAAAAAAAAAGCTGCCCTCCATTTCTGCACCTTACCCATATCATCCTTGAAGTTAACTCCACGGTCATCAAAAGCATTGGCATGCATAACTCCCTGTTTGTTGTGCAACATGATCTGGATCCACATCATAGAAAGCAGGCAGAACAATGTGTCCAGCAGCTCTCCTACGTTTCATGATCAACAACAACTTAATTTATCTAGGCAACATTCCGAAGAAGCAAAGTCATTTGAGAACACAATCACTGACATTTTCGACATTTGTATTGTTGTCTCTGTCCCTATGCTTTCAATGACTTTTACTCTTAGAATATTATTCTCATCCGATCTGAAGAACGTGTAAAGTGCTCACATTGTCAGTTCACTATGGAGGGAAGAAACGAACCCGTTGTGGAATACGTTACACCACTAAAACTCAAGAGCACCTCTGTGGTGAAACAGTGGTAGTCTAGAAAGTTAATAGCAGAGGGACAATTGGATTCTACATGTTCAAGGATTTGACTGAGAGGTAATTTCTGTGGAGATGCTGGATTCGGTTAACTATACAAAAATACAGCAAAGAAGAAGAGTGACACCTATTTTAACTCAAAGATATGTAATAGATGGAGCTGCTGTTAAATATAGATGAGAAATGGAAGAAAACAGGTGAGCAAAAAATGCATTGGTGCTTAGAACACAAAAAAAAAAAAAAACAAAAAAAAACAAAAACAAGAAGAAGAAAAAGAAGGTGTAGCTGGATCCAACGAGGTGATGAAAAAATAAGACAGGTTATGTCAGAAGGTTGTCTTGCATGATAATTACAACTAGAGAAGAGTTCCCAATGAAGCTTGGGGCAGAAAATGAGATAAGAACCAAGAAAAACAAACGGGAAATAAAATAAAATAGAGAGAGAGAGAAAGATGTTACTCCATGGGAGGAGAGAAAAACATGATTTCCCCTCCTGTTATTGTCAATTAATTAATTAGTAATTAAATAGATAGATATGTAGAAAACTACAGAAATAATTAGGAACCAAGAAAAACAAACGGGGAAAATTAAAAAGCTAAGCCTTCCAAACATGTTCGACGCTAGCTGCATACTAGAGCAAACAAAATTCAGCTTTTTTTAATATTTTGCGGCCGATCAAATTCTAACAATTTCTTCTTCTTCTTTTTTTTGGATTTATGAGAACCATATTATCAAGTTAGTTTACGCATTCAACAAGATTCATATTCCCAATTATATCGATATGCATTAAAGAGTTAAGGAAATTAACAAATTCTTTTGGCTATCAAATTCTAATATTATTGACTTCTTCTTTTTGGTGCGGAATTCTATCATTCAATTAATTAAACATTTAATTACCATGGAAGGCAGGCATCCCTCGTCTTGAAAGAAAGGATTGAATTTTTGGAATAAATTGCATGGTTGTGTTTGGAGTTTGGTGAAAGAAAAGGAAAGGTAAGCCCGGTTGATTTTTGCCTAGTACATTTTAAAAGTGTATTTGATTTTAAAAAATATTAAATTTTTATTTTTATTATTATTTTTTTAATAATTTTGATGTGATGTTGTTGAAAATTAAAAAATATATTTTAATATATTTATAAGCAAAAAAAAACCATAATACTAAACACACAAAAAAAAAAATTTACTTAAAACAATTTAAAGCAATAGTGACAGATGGGTGCGTGTTATCACATAACTCTATCTTGTGATGAGAGAAAGCAATTTATTCTATGTTTCTTTTTATTATTCATTAATTTGATAGTAATGAATATTCCATGGGTTTTCAATATCAAAAGCTAGCATTTATCCTCATAGTTTTGTCTTGTGACGAGCTGCGAGCACTCGTTGAAAATACGGTTTCGTGGCACCAGGACTCTACACACTGGCCATGGTGAAGAAGAAATAGCTAGCACCTCACCTAGTCTACAAGCATTGCTCTTCTCAAACCCTTACAGGCAGGTACATTTTAATTCACTGGCTGTGACCTGTGAGGTGTGAGTGAATATGCCTCTCTTTCAGTGCTTCCATTCTGTACGTATTTATACACATGCAATATCGATCTAGCTAAGTCTATCTTATAATAGCATGTAGACGTCCTCCGGATCCCCCTCCTTTAGTCTCTGTGGTAGTGTCGTAAGGTATAATTAAAATTGCGTAACGTCTGACTATAATTTTTAAAATATTTTATTAATTAATATACACTATAGTTTTATATACATGGATCCCATTAAAAATTTTATTTTAAAACTTAGATTAAAATATTATAATTTATAGTTTTTCTTAAACCCTTTTATTTATATATATATATATATATATAGCAATGGCTAATTAAATGATCCATGATCCATGATCCAAGACTATCTTAAACCTTCGATGAAACAGTATTGATTTTGATGTTGATTAGTTATGCTATTTCCATGTGATTTATTAACGCAACCTGAATAAGATCAAATTTTGTTACTGCATTTTTTTTTTTATTGGATTCCTGCAATGTATTTCAAATACTTGATTATTACCATTAATTATTATGTTTAATTAACAATAATTCCAGTAGCATTCCTTCTTCTTTTTAATGATATAAATCACATAATTCACGATTAACTAGGAATTAAGAAAAGTTGATCATTTCACTAGCTAGTGTTCTATTTAACTGCTAATGTCTAGGTAAAGTTCAATATTTCTACCTTGCATTGTAGGAGAACAATGACGAACGTTTATGATTTATCTGAAAAAGTTAAGCAATTGTGGAATGAATGGGAGTTTCGTGCCTTGATTTTGCTAAGTCTCTCTTTGCAAATCTTTCTCGTCTTCTTCGGAAGAAACGAAAGCACGTAGCTGCAGCCTGGCTCCTGAATTTTATTTGGTTAGCATACCTGTCGGCAGAGTGGGTGGCAACTCTTTGCATGGGTATCCTTGCCCGTATCCAAGGAGGTACAGAAACAAACTATGCCAATCCAAACCCAGACTTTGTCCCTGCATTTTGGGCAGCAACCCTCCTTGTACAACTTGGTGGCCCGGATGCTATTACTGCATATTCAGTAGAAGATAACCAACTGTGGTTAAGGCAGCTACTTCAACTAATAACCCAAGTTGCGGTTGTGTTTTATGCCTTGTTGAGGTCATGGTGGAGCAAGGATCCACTCATATTTGTAGCCGTTCCTGTCTTTGTTTCTGGAGTAATCAAATACGGAGAGAGGATTTGGGCACTAAGATCAGCAAGCTTTGATAATGCCGTCCTACATGAAGAAGTCCAGCGTCTAAGCCAGCAACTTGATGAGAAATTCCCTTCACCTGACTTGCTTGACATGTCTATTGAAGACATTAATAGAGCTCTAGGCTTCCATCGCATTGCAAGTCAGGTTGTGCATCTCCATGAAGCTCATTTATTATTCCAAATTTCGAAGATGTTATTTACCGATTACATGCTCCCATTTTCTACTCACATGACGAGCTATCTTATTCTGAGTAGCAAGAATGCTGCAGAAGCCTTCAGATTGATAGAGGTAGAGTTGGGATTCATGTTCGATGCACTTTATACTAAGGTGATCACAGGGCTTTGTTGGCAAGGCTTCCTTCTCCGTGCAATCAGCTGTTCATCCTCCATTGCTGCATTACTTGCATTCGCAAGAATGACCATAAACTGTCATGCTTATTCAACAACCAATATAGTTGTATCATACTGCTTGCTCATTGGAGCCATTCTTCATGAGACATACTCGTTCGTTTTTCTTGTTTTCTCTGACTGGGTTATGCTTTGGCTTAGCAAGCAACACAAGCGATGGGCCACTGCTGTCTGTCAAGCTATTGTTTCTTCTAATCAAAAGTGGCCATTAAACTGTAATGATCGTAAAAAGTGGAGAGGAACTATGGCACAACAAGACCGAATAAGTGATGAAAGCACGCTAGTAAAGATGCTTCTCAAACAGCTCCTTCGCATTAAAGATTTTCAAAGTTGGGAGAGAGTGGAAATGCAATTGAAAGAAGCCATCTTTAATTACCTCTTACAGAAACGTTTAAGATTCAACCATTGCATGCCGCTGCCCGATCCCGGCATGAATAATCTAAATGAGATATTGGCAGAGAGAGGTGATCAGGTGCTTAGGACAGATGGATGTCTTGAAGGACAATTTCGTGAAAGTACGGTGGATGCAGACTTTCGTGAAAGCCTGCTGCTGTGGTACCTTGCCACCGATATTTGTTACTATGACAATTCTCGCACAAATGGTGCTTATGTTGATCCAAATGCCAGGATAAGCAAATCCTTGTCTAATTATATGCAATATGTTCTAACTGACTATCCGTCAATGCTACCAAAAATGATTCAAGGAGAAAGGCGTGCAATAAATAGCAGTCGTGTAATCTCTGGTTCCTGTTGGGCATGGAGATCAAGAATTACCGCTCGGACTCATTGGTGTTCGGAGGAGTTTCTACGCGTAATCCAAGAGAACAGCCCAGAAACTTCAATAGCAAGTGATGGTTGCAAGCTTGCCAGGTCATTGCAAGATCTTGGGAAAGAGAGGGGAAAGGAACGCAAACGGAAGATGATAAGTGAAGTGTGGGTAGAGATGTTAACTTATACTGCAGTTCGTTGTAATTGGCAAGAACATGCTAAAACACAACACGAGGCGGGGAGCTACTCGCTCATGTGTGCCTTCTTATGGCTCATCTTGGCTTAAGCGAGCAACGTGTGACCTAGTAACACTACTGCCAGAGCTACTAATACAGTCCATGAATAAGGAAAGCTACAAAACACTAACAAAATTATTCGATTAATTTAGTCACCTTTTCTTTCTTATATGCTATTAATCTTAAAACGTGTATTCCCAATTAGTTTTTCAAACAATATCAGATGTTCAATATTTAGTGTCTGATATCCATGAACCAACTTACATGTCAATTAAGACTAAACAATCTGCTGCTACATTCGAAGAAAATGCTCTGATAATTTTTAGCTTTCAAAGTGTAACCCAAGAGGTCCAAACTACCTTTAGAGTGGAAAATATTCAGGCAAGCAATCCGTAAAGATCAAATCCTCAAATATATCAGCAGCCTCTTTAAACAAACTTCCTCTTTGCAAGAGATTAAAGCATGGGAATAGGCATCAATACGTGCTCATAGCACATTTCACAAGTTGCCACATGAATTAACACAACAGTTTGGCTACAAAATCATTACCTTTAGCATCACGCTTGCACAAAGTTGTCTCCACCTGAATTGGGATGCCGTAATTTACAAACAAAAAGGCCTGTGCATGACCCTCCATATTAACACAAATTAATTTACTCATGCTATATATCAGAAAGTATTTACATAATAAATGGAAAGGGTCGAGAAGAAAGCCCTCCTAGCTTTGTTAGCATGTCTAAGAAATCCCTGAGGTAAGTTAGCAAGGAAGATGGTAGATGCCAATCAAATTAATCTGCACTTGTAGTCCAGCTTTGACACCAGATTCTCACTTGTCAATTTGGTCAGCAAGTTCCACAAGGAACACAAATAGTTAAACCAGGCTCATCAACTAACTGAGAGAATAATTGAAAACACAGCAATCAACCAAACTTATCTTGATCGGGCCTGCCATTTTCGGTGGCTGTTCCAGTGCCCAATTTTGTATTTGTTCCACCATTTTCAGCAACTGTTTGAGTGCCCAAATTTGTATTTGTTCGGCACATACGCTTCCTGGGTTTCCTCAGTGTTGAAACAGCTAGAGGACCCAGACTAAGTTGCTGTGCCATGTCAGAGACATTCTTCTGTGTTTCAACTTTTGTGATTGGTGTTGTTGTCTTCTTGCACAATCTGTTGGGACGACAAGGAGATAAATTTTTGGCTGCAGGGCTGTCATTAATTGCACCCTTTTCATGCAGAGTCTTCATTCTTGGAGAGTCAACAGCTGCACGTGAATCTAAACTTAACCAAGAACTACTTGTAGTCTCCTTCCCTAAGCTTGTCAGACTCAGGTTTAATAAAGGACTGCCCTTTCTAAGAATAGAAGGCTTGCCACGAGAATGAACAGGGCTCCTCAACTTCCATTGTTGATCACCATTATCTTCAGCATTTGTAACTTCTTCCATTGAAAAATTTTGAGCATCCTATGAACAAGTAATTAATGGGGACGTTAGCCAAAATTTTAGTGCAACAGAGGATGGACAAAACCCCAAACAGAAAACATAAATCAACATCAGTCAACATAGTAATGCCCTCAATGCATTAGATTTAACCAAAAAACTGAGAGAAAAAGTGAGAAAAAAGAGGGGTAACATGCCAAATGATATACTAGCTCAATGTTGAAAGCAGAAATAAAAAGAAAAATCAAGATAAAAAATAAGCAAAAGCAGACCAGAGGTACATTAATCAAGTCATCAGTAAAATTGAGCTACAGAATGAAGCATTTGATATTTTCTGAAAAAAGGTATCAGTGGTTAACTCGAGGGAATAAAAACTTCCAACAGGATGCAAATGCATGCTAGACATTAAGAAGAGAAGAGAAGAGATGTAAGGAAAGGCAACTGCAACAACAGTCAATGAGTTTGTGGGCGTGAACATGTCTTTGTTTGGTAAAACAAGATGACCTTGAAAGAGTTGAATGATGAAAAAAGTATGCACAGCCAACCCAAATGGTAAAACATTTGAAGTTGGGATAAATCTATGCTTGTGGAGGGAAACTCGCTGAATGAGTTTCCTGAAGCCCACCATGCATTGGATCAGTGGACACAATTGGATGGTCCCACATGGGATCTTCTCATCTAGAGGATGGAGGATAATGAGTTACCATCGGCAAATACACATTTATTAAAGGTTCTGAAAAGCATTAAAAGTGATAGTACTACATTATAAAACCAGGACTACTATCAAGTGACAAAGTACATGCGCTCGGCTGAAAAAAATGCTAAGCCTCTCCACTCTCAAAAGCAGCATAATATTGAGAGAGAGAGAAAAAAAAAAAGGAAAGAGAAAAGGCACCTTATCTTGCACCTCAGCAACTGGTTCACAAGCGGCACCTTCCTCCCCATCAGAATCAGCCATCTCCTCACACTCAAAGTCTACGTTTTCTTCAATTTCTTCATCTGAGTCACTCAGCTCTTCTTGCTCCATCACAATTTCTGGATGAGATTGGTCGCCAACATCATCCATGTTGCATGTGCTGACATTATTGCTTTGGACAGGTGATGCATCAACACCTGAAACAAGGTTGCTATGAACCGTGGGATGTTCATTGTGCTTATCACGCGGGCTGTTTATTTTACAAGTTTCCATTCTCCTTCCAGACTTTGGTTCACTTGTTGTTGACCTTGGTTGGGTATTTGCACCAACATCTCTACTTCTCTCAGATACCTCCTTTGCAGAATTAGAGCTTAGATGGATATCCAAGTCCAGGTCATTAGCTTTCTCATTAGAGCTAGAGAGTTTAGGGTCAACAGCAATTGGGATGTGATTGACAAATGACTTATTCTGGACCGCACCAAAATGATTTTGAAATTGAGCAGATTCACCACTCAAACAAACAAATTGGTTTGGATTCGAGCATGCCATCACCAAGTTGTTATTTTCCTCATCAGTTCTTTGCAGAAGTGGGTGGAAGTCGATACTGCATGATGCTGAAGTGGAGTCCTTACTCTTTGAAGACTTGTTAAAACCATCAACAACATGGTTTGCTTGGAGGGGATTATGAAAGAGACTTAGATTCAACTGGGGTTGATTCCCTGAAAAGAAACTAAAAGAACTAGATGTGCCACTGCTGCAGCTCAAAGGGTAATATGGCAGACAGCCACCTTCTGGGGCCTGGAACAGTAATGGATGCATCTGAAGGTCAGAATCAGTGCCTCTTTCTTCAGCAGCACACACATTGTGAACAATGGCAGATTGTTCTGGGTGTGAATCTGCGACATGGTCTGCTGCTTGATTAGTCTTATCCCTTCTTAAATCTACTGAACTGGGGGTTCTCAAATTTCCAATATGAGGAAGCTGAGCAGCAATATTGTTTTTTCCAGCATCACCAGTCCGAATTCCCGAGGTAGATACTTTGATAGATGATCCACATTGGTTCCTTTCGAAAGCTGACTGAGAAATTACTCGAACAGACCGTGGAAGATTCACAGGGGGCAAATCTGGTGCCAATCTCACTAAGTGCACACCATCAGTTTTACGACTCCGGTATGGCCGCAAATGTATTTGAGGCTTGGAGATACTCACTGACATATTAGAAATTTGATAGTTTGGTAGCATGGTATTAGGAGAGGGTTTAGCATGAGCAAGAGGATAATGGTGAGAGCTGGATCCATATGGAAGCCCATTCATGTTATCGATCCAGAGTTGAGGCTCTCCAGGCCTACAATTGTTTGGATGCTCTCTGGTATTTTGATCTTCTCTTGAAATTGTATCACTGGAAATGAGACCCGAGGAACCTGGCCTCCAATCAGATAAAAATGCCTGATGAACATAAGCTTCGTTTACATTATCAACACAATCATCTCCACTGCTATTTCCTTTACCAGTTCTGTCAGCCTGATTGTCCTGCACCCAGTCAAAGCACTTAATGACATTAGTTAACACATTAAACTGTGAATCAATGAGACCAAGCGCAGCTAACTTATTAACTTAAAGCCCAGCTGAGCCCTTTAACTTGACGTAACTGTGTAGCCAGGATGCCAGCTTGACATAAGTAGATTATATAGCACGCATGCTCAGGAAAAAAAACAAGGACACACCCAAAGTGTCAGTGCGATTTTCAAAGAGCCACTGTTCAGGCAAAATATGGTTTCATCCACCAAAATTCATATACAAAATTAGCTACATCAAATGGATATTAAGCAACAAGGTAACATGTAGATCCAGGATAACAGCATACTTCCTTGTCAGAAGCTGGTTTCCAATTTGATAATTCTGTGGTTCTTGACCGTTTCCTGGCTTCAGATATCCGCCTTTTCTCCTTTTTAGCAGCATCTTGCTTATATGACTTTTGAGTTCCAAGGGCAATCCGCAACTGCCGAGGCAATAAGGAAGGATCCCTATGTGGAACAACAAACTTCCATACAGACAACCAATCAAGTTTGTAAACCCTGAGTCCCTGGAGTGAGTGAGGTTACATTAAAAATCAGACAGCACAATCTAAAAACTGATCATCTGGAAAGGCATATGAAACATCCAGGATGATATTACCTCCTGAATCCGTTCTGTCTCTTCTGTAGTCAATGGGGAGGTTTTCATTCTCCGAACTGCCTGCATAAAGTAGATATTCAGTTCACTATAAATATAAACACCCAGTTAATTTTTGTTATAATCTAGTCTATATCCCTTATTGTGTTTCAAACTCAATGGTGTTAAGATTCTTCAATGAGCAGGGATACAACTGAGAATTATCATTCAAACACCTGGGCTCATGCGATTACCTTTATAGGATTTTCTGGTGCCTTAGATGAACAACGATTTTTCTGCCTAACAAAAATCTGCAAAAAAAAAAGCAGCAGCATTACAATGATGCTAAATATGATAATTGTATATGTGATATTGACTTTAAAATTCAGAAAATTAAAGAACGACAGAGAGAATAACAACACTTTTCTAGATCACCAAGAGACATGGCAATGCTACAAAAACCATTGACCAGCTAGCATATCAGAATGGGAACAACAGCTAAACACATGGATCCACATAGGCAATCATAAAAAGAACCCCAGAAAAC